TTGGCTTGGAAAGTGGCTCTCAGAGACAGCTGGGAGCCCCTCCTGATACAATGCCCACTGTGCTTGCCAGGCTGCCGGGTGACTTGAGTCCTTTAATGTCACACTGCCAGAGACTGTAATCACAGGCTCACGTGGGCATCATTAGATCTATCAATGCTTGCTGTTTCCCCTGGGATGCTCCAGAGTCTGTTAGCCTGGCTAAGATTGCACTGTCAGGGAAGAAACACACCTGGGCTCAGTTGAGGGCCCTTGTTAGGGAAGAGGCTGCCCTCAGCTCTGCCCCACCTCCGTGCCTCAGTGACTGATGAGTGGACCTTTCCTCCCGCTGAGCAGGGAAAGTAGCTCACTGGCATCCCATGTCTGCTGCTTCTACAGCAGCTTTGTCCAAGCAGAAGTTTGTGAACTCAGCTAGTTCCCAGATGATGCCCAAAGCTTGGCCAACAAGACCAACGCTTTGAATTCATTAACTACTGAGCACTACCAAGTACCAGATGCTGGAGGTACAGTGGCTGACCGGCTCTCTGAGGTCAAGGCCATGCCATTTCCTGCTTCTCATCCTGGGGTGAGCCAGGTGCTCATGAGAAGCCTCCTCTGGCCTTGACAGCAGAATAAACCTGCTCCCCCAGAACCTGGCTGGTTTCTCCCTCGGGATGGGGATCTCCAGGTAGCTGCTGGTCCCTCTGGGACACCGCACTCAGCTAGCGCCTTTCCTTCAGTGTTGCTCAGCCCCGCATGCTCCGGTTTCCCTTCTGTCCATTCTGAGCCATTCCTAGCTCTTAACATGCCTCTGACCTGTGTTTGGGGAAGATGGGAAGTCCTTCAAAGTCTGGGTTTTCTCCCGTCTCCAACTGTCCCACAGTGGACATTCCAAAGCCTTTCTGCACCTCCTGGAAGACCTTCAGTCAAATCCTCCAGACAAGCTCTCTTGTTAGCCTCCGTGACTAGCATCATGCCTAAAGTGTAGAGTCAGCTACTGAGAGGGCTGGCTTGAACATGGAGTCTTGGGTACATGGTGGTGCAGGTCAGTGATATCCCCTGATGTCCTGAGCCCCTCAGCAGCCCCTGGCACTTCTTGGAGTCTCCCATCTCACCTCTGACTCTTGGTGTCACCTGTCTCGTGGAGCTAGTAACTACCTGCCATAAAGCCCTGCGAAGACTCAGGTAGGTACCTGCAGGATCCTAGTCTTCACCTTGAGTCACCTTTCCCATGTGCCCTGGTAGCCAAGAGGCTTCGTGGAAAGAAACATCAGCTGTTAAACCAAGAATGTTCTGGGCCATTTGAGGACCCAGGGTTGGAGAGGAATATAGTCTCTGTTCTTACATTTCCATCCCTCAAACTTAACTGTGGGCACAGCTCTGGGCAGATCTGGGGCCATAGATGCTTCACCAGCACGGCCAGCTGACTGGGGCTTTCTGGGTCTGAGGTATCTCCAGACACCTCGGCTTATACCCACGGCTAGTTGGTAGATCCTGCACTGCTAACATCACAACAGCTCCATTCTCATGTTTTACAGTTAGCTATCCCCTCCAAACAGCGTGAAGGGAGGAGACAGTTTCTGCAGAGATGCATAGGTTGAGGGTGAGGAACAGCTTGGGAGTCTGAAGACAATCTATACTAAAGATCACGCGCTCCTGAAGGCCCTTAGGACAGGTCTGCCCAGCCACCAACCAAAGTTTCCCAAGGCCCCTTGGGAAGGCATAGGGATAAACAATATGACCTTGGTCCCATGCCCTCACGTGGAGGCTTTGGCTAAAGGCTTCTTCCAGGACTACCTGGGAGACTGAGTATGGTCTCCCCACCGAGTACCTGCCCCCCTCCCCCAGAGGAGTCTGGCCTCTAGATACAGATATAAATAACCCAAGAGACTACTTTTCCTTAAAGCAAGTAGCTAGGGCTGTGGCCCAGAAGGGAAGGAAGGACTCAGAGAGGATGCAATGAGCAGCCCTGGAGGTAGGGTGAGGTGGGGAGGGCCCCTGACTGCTGGGGAGAGTAGGGTGAGGAGGCTGTTCCTTGTTGAGTTTCTGTGAGATGTACCCTGACAGGGAGGGATGGCCTCCTTGTGGAAAGAAGGGGCTGTCCACAGCACTCCCTTCCCCCTAGTCCCAGCACCCCGGTTCTCAGCCTCACACCTTCCTGTCCTAATTCATTCCAGTTTGGGGCTGGGGGATTCTGCCCACTAGGTTGCTGGTGCAGCTCAAAGACAACTCTTTCAAGAGCTTACACACTCAGACCCAGCACAGCAGTCACACTTGCTCTTAACACCCTCCAGGTGTGACCACACTGCAAAAATAGCACCCTGGGTACAGCATGAGCGTGCTGTGTGTCTTTGTTCCACTCTTTTTCCAGCCCAGAAAAGCCAGGTTGTCTGTCCATGTTACCTCTCCGTGTTCCTCGGCAGCCTGCTTAGTTCACTTTTGCCCAAACTGCTCAGACCACTGGGTTCTGGAAGTTGTCCTCACTGGACAGAGTGATAGCTAATATTACTATTTCCGGTTACTAGACACAGACTTCTCTTGCTCTCCACGCCCCTTCCCACACCCATGCCACATGCTTGTTGTTCTGTCCTGAGTGAGCTGCTTGCTACTCCCCTCACCCTCAGAGGAAGAGAGACTTTAAGGGTGACTAAGGAAGAAAACCAACATTGACCTTTGGCCTCCTCAACCACACACTCTTGTACACAACACAGGCACACAACAAACACACCCAAGAGAAGCAGCAGGCAATGATGCTAGTTGACCCTATCTGGCCTCGGGCAGCAGCATCCTCCTAGTCAGAATGTAGAACGTTGTCTTTGGAAGTCCAGTGACGTTCTCATGAGTTGACCGAGGCCCTGCTACATCAAGGTCCTCAGGGGATTAGGTGACACACAGAGTCCCATGGGACGCTCCTGATATGGGGAATCTGTTCATCCATGGTGCTGAGGTCTGGGAGGCATGAGAAGGACACCATCAACCAAGAAGGTCTGTGACCCACCACTCAGAAGACCCTGTGGGATATGGGGAGGACAAAAGTAAATAACAACGCTGTGGGATGTTTGGATCACACTCTTGACACTCCCAAGACTGACAATAAAGTTTACTTTGAATCAGAGGGCGGAGCCAGCTACTAGCCAACCAAAATCAGCCACAGAGGCTTTGGAGGACCAAGGACCTACAGAGAGACACAAGAAGTTGTAGGAAGGGGCTGAGAGAAATGCTCTGCTCTTTCGGAGCCAGGAAGGAGAGAGGAGGTCACTTGGCCCCTTCTCCATTGTTTCTCTGATCAATCAGGTTCTAACCCTGATAGCTGACTCCGTGTTTTTATTGATAAAGAAATAGTTAGATAAATGCTTCATAACAAGGAAGAAAGTCAAGTAGGGGCTTCGCCTCATCTCTGTAAGCCTAGCCCATGAGAACCGATGATTCCTAAGGCTCCAAGCTGTTACTACCTCATTATTGCACTCCCCCTGAGACCCTTACTGTACACCCCCTCGAGCTCCTAACCCACCTGCTTTCACCTGAAACTTCTGCAAAGAACTGTGGCTCTCAGGACCTTTGTCTGGGTAACTAGCCCAGTAGCGGGAACCTTGCCAATGCCCCAGCTCCTATTCTCTGCCTGTGCCAACAGAAGGTAGTCCAGCACAGTTCCTGCCCAAGGCTTCCTGAATAGCCTGGTCTCCAACACCAGGTCTTCCCAGCCTGAGGAATGCCTGGGGGAGTGGAGGGTTAAAGCAACAAGGCCAAGAAGGGAAAACAGCCAGCACTGTAACATCCAAAACACTGAGAAACGCCAGGAGTAAATGTTGGCTGTAGAATAAGGCGGCAGTGGACTGGCCATGGCCACTTGTGATGTGTTGACTCCCAGTTCATTCCCAGAATCCCAGGACAGTGCACACCCCGAGCCTTTGGGCCACTTGCGTCTCAGTGTGCAGGGGCGGCTCCCTCTACCTCTTTCCAGAACGATGTAGCAATCTTTTCTCTTTACCAAATCCAAAGTCCTTTCCAGAACCCCCATACCCCCAGAGCTGGAGCTGCCCAGCCTCCACCCTTCCTTGACACTTCCCTGTGTCCTTTCCTAGACTATCCCCCACAGAGGTGTAGGGGATACATCTTCACATTCTTGGTGCCTGGTATGGTGTCTGGCATATAGCAGGGCTGTTGATGATATTAAATTACTTAGGAGTCTGATTCAAATGATCTAGCATTTAATGTAGTTTCTGGTCCTCCATGCCAGGCCCCTGACACCTGGCTATAAATGTGAGAGCTATTATTGCCCAACTATTTCCTGTACTGTTCTGCCGGGCCTCAAGTCAACAGCAGCTGATCCCAGGCAGGGCCACAAAGGCACATCGTCCCCTGGGGTGGCCCTTGCCGTCTGAGAGGCAGTGGAGGCTGCTCCTTGAACAGCTGGAGTGTCTCCTCTGCCCTGAGGTTGCGGGTCATGATTAGAAAGCCCTGGGAGATCCCTGAAAGGCCTTGCACTGTGCTGTAGGACAAAGGGCATTGTGTCAGGGTGGTGTAAGAGTGAGGCAATTAATATGAACAAGGAAATAATGAGGGCTGATTCCCAGAAGCACATTGATTTAAACCACAAAAGCTCTTTGGAATGAGGCTTGAGAATTGTAAAAGTCTGAGCAGTCAGCAACCCCAAGGGAGGGAGCCACACACCATGCCCTGCCTGAGACTCACTCTGTTCCTGGGAGCAGGAACAAATGGCCTCCACGTTCCAGCTTAGCGATGGGGCAAATGAAGTCAGAAAGGCTAGACAGAGACAAACAAGGATCACCTTCCCCAACTAGCGAAGTCCACGAAGTTTCCAAGCCTAAGATGCCATACCTTTACGCCCTCTTTGTTCACTGAGTTTACTCTGAGGGCATGGACTCCCTTCTCCGATGGTATTTTCTTTCTTTCTTTCTTTCTTTCTTTCTTTCTTTCTTTCTTTCTTTCTTTCTTTTCTCTCTCTCTCTCTCTCTCTCTCTCTCTCTCTCTCTCTCTCTCTCTCTCTGTCTCTCTCTCTCTCTCTCTCTCTCTCTCTCTCTCTCTCTCTCTCTTTCTTTCTTTCTCTCTTTTGTTTTTCAAGGCAGGGTTTCTCTGTGTAGCTCTGGCTGTCCTGGAACTCACTCTGTAAACCGGGCTGGCCTATGAACTCATATACATCCACCTACCTCTGCCTCCTGAGTGTCCTGATAATATTTTCTAATTGGAAATCTGTCCAGGAACCTTCTCCTGACACCAGCCTGTGTCGCACCTTCAGACCCTGCCAGACACAGAGCAGGGAACTGTGGGAAAGGGAACAAGGCAGAGGTCGGCATACTCGGAGGGGAGGCAGATGGTGAGGGGAGACAAAGGACACAGAGGGCCTGGTGCCAGCAGAAAAGAGATGAAGCCCCCCTGTAGGACCCACCCGGTTCTCTCCCAGTCCATCATCACTGAACCATGGGAGCAGAACCTGTATGCCAGTCAGGTGCTAGGGAGTAAGGGATTCAGGACAAGTAGCCGGACAGTGAGGAGAAGACAGGGATGCAGCGGTCTGAAAAGGGAGGTAAAAGTCACAAACATCATGTGTCACCAAGCTCAGCCTGGCCTTGGTGAACATTTCCCAACAGCAGGTGTGCCCTGCTGCCGCTGGGAGCTCCCGAGGCTTCCAGGAGTGACTGTGGAGTCACAGTCGAGATGAAGATCTCTCACCATCTCTCACCTAGTGACCCAGGTATGCAATGCCTAGCTTCCTACTGCTTCCCACGTCACTTGGCCCTGTGTCTTCAGACAACTGTAACCCACAGCCTCACATCTGGGGCAGGTCCATGTAATGGAGTCTAGCACAGTTGATGCTAAGGTGACAGAGGGCAGTCTGACGCTAATCAAGGGAAGATGGGGAGAGAGAGACAATTTTCAGATAAAAAGAGCCTGAGGGATGTTTGTTTGGTTTGTTTTTTTCTTATGTCTTTTTAGTTGAATATACCACATAGAGGGAGGCCATTGTACCATATAGAGGGAAGCCGTTGTACCATATAGAGGGAGGCTGTTGTACCATATAGAAGGAGGCTGTTGTACCATATAGAGGGAAGCCATTGTACCGTATAGAGGGAGGCTGTTGTACCGTATAGAGGGAGGCTGTTGTACCGTATAGAGGGAGGCTGTTGTACCGTATAGAGGGAAGCCGTTGTACCATATAGAGGGAAGCCATTGTACCATATAGAAGGAAGCTGTTGTACCGTATAGAGGGAAGCTTTTGGAGGGCTTTTGTTCATTAAGACTCCAGGTTGGGGATGGAGAGATGGCTCAACAGTTAAGAGCACTGGATCTTTTTACAGAGGACCTGAGTTCAGTTCCCAGCACCCACATGACAGCTCACAATTGTCTTTAACTCCAGTTCCAGGGGATCTGACACCTTCATAAAGACTTATATGCAAGCAAAACACCAATGCACCTATGATAAGAGTAAATAAAACATTTTTAAATGTATTTTTAAAAAGATGCTTAGATGCTTGGTTGGTAGAAAAACTAAATCCAGGGCAATGGGGAGAAAGAGAGATGGGAAGGCAGACAGACAACGTCTGGGGAATTCTGGAGTAGCTCAAAGAAAGAAGGGATGGTGACAAATCCGGGATAGTCAAGACATGAGAACCTGGTGGCACAAACCTTCTTTCCTTACGTCCATGTAGAAGCCTTGTTAACTATTATCTTTAAGAGGTGGGACCAAATTAGGGTTTGGCTTTCTGGGACCCTGAGAAAAATGGGCAGACGGCCCAGGTGCTCTCTCTCTCTCTGTGGTTCCCTCGCCACACAGCTGAGCTTGGCGTTCTCATTCCAGTTTCATGAATTTTCCCCTTATAATAAATAAAATATAATTGTTTATCTTTTAGCTAGCCCGGTTATTCCCTGAATTGAGTTAGCTTCTACAGTTGGCGCCCGATTCATGGCGCTCTGGTCTCCAGTGGCTCTAGCCAGAGCCGTCAGGCTCCACGCCATTCATATGGGTATAAAATTCCAGCAGTGGCCCTGAGTAGCCGTTAGATGCAGTCCTTCATATTTTCTCATTAAACATCTCAGCTGGCTTCTGGGTCCAGTTTTCCAGCGCTCACAGATGCTCAGGCGGGATGTAGGCTTCCACGGTTGTCTCTGTTCAGCATTTGTGCTTGTGTGGCCACCAACCCAGCAGGGACCTCCACAGAGCACACAGTCTGTGTTTACACTAAACAACTGCTTTTAATTTGAGCATAGCTTTCAGCATTTAATGCTAAAATTCATATTCAAGCTGGCTACGCGGCTACAAGTGCACCACAACACCTACTGGCAGGTAATGGTTATAGCACCTACTCCAGCTCAAACTCAACCACAGGTAAGATTTATAATTCAAAATATAACTTATAAATTTATAATTTAGAAGGGCAAGATGATGGACAATTTAACCATCCAGGAGTTCAATGGCCTTTTTGCTTATACCATGTATGATGTTATGCAAGGTTGTTACGATTTTCTCCTACCTCTATTTGATTCTAAGGATTAGCTTTGTCCTTCACATTTTCTCCTTAAAAACATAATAGGACCACTTTTAGAAACGATACAGTCTTTACAGACTGATAATGACCAACTAAAAGGGAAATTCAGCACTCTGGAGAAGGATACAACCAATTTGACAAACAAAACCCAGTCAAATGAGGCACTTTTAGAAATGGCACAGTCTTTACAGACTGATAATGATCAACTAAAAAGGAAATTCAACACTCTGGAGAAGGATACAGCAAATTTGACAAACAAAACCCAGTCAATGACAGAGGGTGCTGAGACATTGTCTGAGAGAATTCGTACTGTTGAATGTACTAATTGGACTCTGTCAGAGGGTTATGATAGATTGACTGATAGAATGTCTCTCTAGGAAGGTAATATGCATGCTATAAAAATTATGTCCAAGGATAAGACTTCATACCTTGGAATCCTCAATGAGGGCATTAGAACAGAACACCAGACAGTAGATCCAGACTTTACAAAAGGCAGTGGTAAAAAAGATTTGAAAAGAGTGAGGAATTCATTGAAATGGTACAAAGGCAAAATGTAGCCTCATCAGTGTGTACCAAACTCCAGGATAATTTACCCAGAGTTCTACCTGCCTTTCTGGTGATATCATCAGAAACAGCATCTGGCACCAAATACCCTAAGGTAGTCAAAGAATATACATGGGAGCCCATATGTAATGCTGATCTAAAGCAAAGTAAATAAGCAACTGTATCTTATGGAATACATTCATCCTTCATTAGGGAAATGGTCATAATGTGAGCTTTAAGCAACAAAGCAATGCCACAAGACTGGATTCAGTTAATCTCAGTGGTCCTAGAAAATGGACCACAGTTGCTTTGGAAATGTTACTAGAGAGAAGAAGCAAAAATTTTAGAGCAACAGGCAAAAGCAAAAGGACTTGAGATTTCCCAAGATCAAATTCTGGGTGAGGGACTTTACTCTGATTCTCAGGATCAGTCTCTTTATGGTGAAAACACCTTGTCCCTATGTAGCACAGCAGCTTTAAATGCTTGGGACAGGATTCAGGACCTAGGAAAGAGAATTCAATCATATATTAGGGTTAAACAGGATCAGAGAAAACCCTTTAGTGACTTTTTACAAAGTCTAACTAAGGCTGTACAGAAAGGGGCAACAAAGGGCTGGAGACATGGCTCAGTGGTTAAGAGCACTGGCTGCTCTTCCAGAGATCGTGAGTTCAATTCCCAGCAACCACATGGTGGCTCACAACCATCTGTAATGAGATCTGGCACCCTCTTCTGGTGTGTGGGCATATGTGGAGGCAGAATGTTATATACATAATAAATAAAATAAATAAATCTTTTTTTTAAAAAAAAAAGAAAGGGGCAACAGACCCAGAAGATAGATGTGTACTAATTGAATCTTTGACTTTTGAGAATGCCAACTTAGAATGCACAAAGATCCTTGGGTCTTTAAAGGTTAGATCAGCACCAATGGATGAATGAATCTTACAAACAATGAATGTCGAGACACTTGACTATAGTACTGAAGCTTGGGTAGGAGAAGCAATTTCCAATGGTATGAGGAGACATCAAAATACCAAATGTTTTAATTGTGGTAGAATAGGGCATCTGAGAGGGGATTGGAGACAAGGGATTCCTAGGAATCATGTCTCCTCTGAGAATGGCAAGAACAGGAGGACTCAGCCTTCAGGTATATGTAGGAAGTATGGCAAAGATGACACTGGACCAATGAATGTAGGTCAACAAAGACAGACAAGGCAACCTGACACTACTGGTAAACTCCTTGGGGGGCTTCTTGCAGGCCCCCATGACAAACATGGTCTAATAGTTCCCAGTTACTGTGGAGAGTGTGTCTCATCAGGAAAAATTAAAAAAAAAAAATCCAGTGCCTACTGTAAAAAAACAAACTGGTCTGGATGATGAAATAGATGTGGAAGATGGATCCAGTAGGAAATAGGAAACAAATATTCTGGCAGACTTCTATAAATAATCAAAGACCAAAGCTAAGAGTGTGTATAAATGGCATTTTTATTCAAGGCTTACTAGACACGGGTGAGGATGTAAGTAAGTATCATTACCCCAGTATCTTGGCCGCTTCAAGAGGTAGATGTTCAGTTCTCAAGTGAAACAAATCATGATATGGGTCAAATGCATAGGGCCAGAAGGATAGAGAGGGAGGCCAAGGCCATATGTAGCTAATATTGCAGTGAATTGGTGGGGTTGTGACCTATTACAGCAATGGAATACCCAGATTAACATTCCTGCAGCCCCCAAAATGTATGTTTCTGGGGAAGATATTAGAAGATACTATAGACAAAAGTCACCAGCCATTCAGGCTGTACAAGAACACAAAGCAATTGACAAACCTTTGGAGGTACTAACAACCCTGCCTTTAAAATGGTTAACTGAGACCAATATGGGTTAAACTGTGGCCTCTAACAGAAGAAAAGCTGCAGGTCTTAGAAGGGATGGTACAAGAGCAACTAGATGCTCACCATAATGAAGACTCAACGAGACCTTGGAATTTTCCTGTATTTGTTGTTAAAAAGAAATCTGGAAAATGGGGAATGGTGACAGATCTTAGAGCTATCAACAAGGTTATTCAACCTATGGGCCCTCTACAATCTGGAATTCCTCTGCCTTCTCTGTTACCAAAGGGATGGCCTTTCATAGTTATTGATTCAAAGGATTGTTTCTTCACTATACCTTTACAAGAAAAGGATATAGAAAAATTTGCTTTCATAGTGCCTACTTAAAATAATTCTCAGCCTACTAGGAGATACCCTCCTGCAAGGGATGCTCAATAGCCCCACTATGTGCCAATATTTTGTCAGTCAGCCATTGGACATAATACATAAGCAATTTCCTGAGTCTATAATCTACCATTACATGGATGACATTTTATCTGTTTAAACATAGATACTCTAGAAAGAATGTTTTAAGAAGTAAAGAAACTTTTGCCTAAATAGGGATTACAAATTGCTCCTGAAAAGATTCAAAGAGGAGATTCTGTTAATTTCCTAGGTTACAGAATAGGTTTACAGAAAATTAAAACACAAAAGGCACAAAATTGGAGAGACTGGTTGCGGACTCTTAATGACTTTCAAAGATTGTTAGGAGACATGTCCAGTCTACGACCAGCTGTTGGGATAACACCTGATCTAATAATTCATTTAAACAAAACCTTATATAGTGATAAAGACTTGAATAGTCCCAGAGAATTAACAGCTGAAGCAGAAAAGGAACTGACAATTGTTGAGGAGATATTACAGGAGTCACATTTGGGTAGGGTGAATCCAAATCTTAATTGTATTCTAGTCATATTGCCTTCCAGAATTTCTCCCATAGGAATTTCAATGCAGAGAAATGATATTATCTTAGAATGGATCTTTTTACTACATAAACCAAGTAAAAATTTAAAAATTTTTATGTGGAAAAAGTCTCTGAATTAATTATAAAAGGTAAATTGAGATTTTGTCAATTGCAGTTATAGACCCAGCAGAGATTATAGTGCCTTTTATTACTGATGAAATAAAAAGTCATAGGAAGACAATGAACCATGGCAAACAGTTTGTGCTAATTTTTTGGGAGGAATTAATAGCAATTATCCCAAAAGCAATAGACTTAACCTTTTAAAGATACCTTCTTGGATTCTTTCCCAAATTGTACATGATGCACCAATACCTGGAGTCCATACATTTTATACTGATACAAATAAATCAGGGAAGGCAGGTTACAAATCAGAAGAATTAAGTAAGGTAGAACAAAGCCCTTATAATTCTGTCCAGAAGGCAGAATTATATGCTATTCTTATGGTACTAAGGGATTTTAAAGAACCTTTCCATATAGTTACTGATTCACAATATGCAGAAAGAATTGTCTTGCATATTGAAACTGTTGGATTTATACCAGATGATACAGAATTGACTTCATTATTCATTTAGGTGCAAGACATAATTAGGAATAGGCTTTGTCCTATATACATAACACACATATGATCCCAAATGGGACTGCCATGTCCTCTAGCACAAGATAATGCAGAAATTGATCAGTTATTGATTGGAAGTGTGTTGAAGGCCTCAGAATTTCATGTCAGTAGCAAAGGTTTAAAGACAAGTTTCCTATTACATGGCAACAAGCTAAGGAGATTATAAAGAGATGTCCTGCTTGCTCTTTCTATAACCAATCACCATCGCCTGCAGGGAGTAACCCAAAGGGTACTCAAAGAAATGAGATCTGGCAAATGGATGTGTTCCACTTTACAGAATTTGGAAAATTAAAATATGTGTACCACACCATAGACACGTATTCAGGTTTTCAATGGGCAACTGCCTTGAGCTTGGAAAAGGTTGACTCAGTAATCAAACATTTATTAGAAGTTATGACCATCATGGGCATTCCTGCACAAATAAAGACAGACAATGATCCAGCATATATATCTAAGAAAAAAAATGTTTTTCTGCTTATTATAATATAAAGCATATTACAGGTATATCAAATTATCCTACAGGTCAGGCAGTTATAGAAAGGTCAAATTGAACTATAAAGGATATGCTGAACAAACAGAAAGGGATGGAAAATACCCCCAGAAATAGATTGCATAATGCTTTATTAATCTTGAATTTTCTTAACGCTAATGAGAAAGGAACAACAGCAGCAGAGAGACACTGGATAATAGAGAAAAAAAACCTTCTGAATTGAATCAACCAGTGTATTTCAAGGATGTGCTGACCTCACAATGGAAACCAGGAGATGTGCTATGTTGGGGAAGGGGTTTTGTTCTTGTTTCCACAGGAGAAGAAAAACTATGGATACCATCAAAATTAATAAAGATTTGCTTTGTAAAAGAGAAACCTCTTGATAGAGAGAGATGACAGCTCATCCACAATGGTGACAACCATGCAGGTGGTTCTGCTCTTGTTTTTACAGGAAAATTCACATCTTCAAAAATTCAAGAGACCCTGGATGTTTGGACGCTGACAAAAGGAAAAATAACTATCCAATAAGGATCATCAAGGAAAAAAATGACTTATGAGGACAGGTGATCAAAACATATACATTTAAATATACATAAATATATTTATGAATATATAGAGCTGGATTTGGAGTTGGGCAATAGCTTTGTACTTCTCTAAATTCAAGTGTGTTGTTAAAAGGAAAATTCAGTTTCTGTCTCATGACAGGAGCCATCTGGTATGGAACAGAAGGAAGACTTTAAGAAAAATTTTACTTTCTCCATGTCTATTTTGTCTATATCATATTCTTCATTGAATGTATTTCTATATGAATAATGTTTAAGTTTTCCATGATAAACAATAGAATTTCCTACAAATCCTTTCCAGGAAGAAGATGGGGCCCCCCAGCCACAACTCCACCTGGGTGAGGTAACATCATGATGCTGAGAGCACTGCTATAAGACCCGTATTTGGGTACCAGTTGCTGACATGGTACACTGCGGCGAACTCCCTGACCAGCAGGAAAGAACAGCCACCAGACGAGGATTCTTCCCAAATCAAGCTTTATTGGAGCCTCTTGGTTGAAGGGAGAGCAGGAGGCGAGGGGCCCCAAGCTCTGAGCTGCAACTGCCTATATAAGGACTAGGGGTACATGCAGGCTTCCTATTGGTCAAAATGTCTCAGCAGCCATTCCAAGCTCCCTGATAGGTCCAGCACACTGAGGACACTGAGCATGCCCGAGATGGTGGTACCGGCTATGACCTTATATGGAATTGTTTATACCAAGCCTGCAGGGGCCCGGCGCCATCTTGTAATGGCGGCTGCACGTACTGGCTCCCTGCAGTACACCTTCTCATGACATTCTGGCCAGAACTCCAAATAAATACTTTGGAAAAAACCCTATCAACTACTCAGAAATCGTTTGTAACTATGCTAGACAGTAATCTTGAAACTTAACGACCACTTTACTTTTGCAGGATCCCATAAAGAGAACATTGCCCCCATGACGGCGGGAGGCAATTCTAGAGGACAACGTCCCCTCTCACAAAAAAGTTTGTCCTCAGGGTTGGGAACACCATCTAGGAGTTGTTGATTATTACTTGTAAAAGGTGGAGGGTTGGGATGGAAACTATGTAGGCTCAGAGATAAAAAAAGGGGGGGATAATAATAGTGAGTAATAGAGCGAATACTTGTAAGCTATTATTTATGAATAATTTGCATTGGTATAGTTTTTATATATTAATACAACTTCTAATTATATTTTTTATTTCTGTTTACAATATTTGTACACCTATGCAAAGTTATTTTGTCAGCTTGTATATATGCATGTTCCTACCTCTGTTTAGGACATCTGTATATTGATACAACTTTTAGGATATATTTTCATATTGCATTATATATTACTCCTACCTCTGATCAAGATACTTATACATTGTTTACATTTTGAGGTCATTGTCCTCATTGGCTGCATATTTGTTTACAGATTATTTAATATTCTGACATGAAGTCTTAGTCTTCAAGTTGTATAAGTATTAAATATTGTAGTCAATAGTTGTTCATGTTTATTATACATATGGTCAGATTATAGATTCTTTAGATACATAGAGATTGTATTCTGCCTAGATAGGTAATCTTCCACCACTTCAAGAATCTGTAGAACATAGCATTTAAATAATTTAAGGTTCTGTTGACATGAGACATGATTGCTCCTGACAGCACCAATCTATTTCTGAGAGAATGTTGAGCAATGAGGACACTCCACTCAGAGTTTGTTTTCTTCTTGGCACAATTGGCTTTTGGGCAAAGAAATGCCCATGCCTCAACCATTGACAAAGTACATGGTATCCGGACTGGATAAGAAGGACACAAGAAAAAGGACTGCCAAACCTTGCCAAGACAGGGTAAGACGGTTCTGAAAAATTCCCTGCCTCTGAAAATAGTCTGTCAGTTATCCTAGGCCTTGGCCAACGTTGGTTGCTTCAACGTTGCAAATGAGACTTTGGGTGATTGCCCAGGTAGAAAATTGTCTCCATCATATACTGCAAGCTACTTGAATGCACTTCCTGCCTACTCAATATTATCTCCCTTCTCAGGCCTTTGATGGGGTTGAAGATTAGATAATCTCATTTACCTTCCTCTTATGATTTAGCCAACCTTATTTCTGATGCAAGACTTAGACTCTTTGGAATAGAATGCTTATTAAAACATTTGTCATGTGTTCCTTGCTTAATATTGTTTACGTTGCTTGTAATTTTATACTTGATATCTTTTCCTATTGTATGTAATTGTATTGGGTTTGGATTGTTCTTGTTTAGACAAAAGGGGGAGGTGATGGAGAAACCTTGTTAATCACTTATCTTTAAGAGGTGGGACCAATTTAGGGTGTAGCTTTCTGGGATCCAGAGAAAAACAGGCCTTGCACTAGGGTTAGCTAGCCTGATTTTTTTCCCGAATCAAGTTAGCTTCTGCATCCATGTTTACCCCTTCCTGCTCTATTTCTTTTTCTTCTATATTTTCTTTTCTCTTAAGACAATGTTTTATCATGTAGCCCAGGCTGACCTCCAATTTATATCCATCCTCCTGCCTCAGCCTCCTGAGTCCTGGGATGTGCAGAAGCAAAGTCACCATTCCTGGCTCTCCAGTTCATTTCTTTCCTCTGGGAAAGCCTTACCCTACCAGGGTCTCATGAGGTGGCTCTTTGTGGTCAAACTCATACAGCTACTTGACAAAAAAGTAAAGAATATTTTCCCACAAGCTTTGCTGGAAAAAAAAAATCCTCAGCTTTTCCCCCTTTTGGCATTGAACCTTGGCTGACTTCCCATGGCAATCCCTGGTCAGGTGAGTAGGAGGTTATTATGGTTGTCATGGATGGCCTTCCTACACACCCTGGAAGGAAAGGACCAGGGAACTTTGATCAACAGCCTCCTCAGAACAATTTGGAAGAGAAAGGAATTTCTCCCAAGGAAGAAAGTGTAGTCCCTAAGACATCATGGCCACAGCAATTTTCGGGTGACAATTGCTCGCCCACAGAGTTGTCACGAAAGACAGAAGACTTGCAGGTGAGAGACCTGGAGAGATTTGCGCTGCCAGTCAGTTATTAAGAAGGAAGACCAGGACTCTCCAAGATTAGCCCCCATGGAATAAATTCATAGTCTGTTTCATAGCTCACTCCGGAAATTTGAAGTATTATCCATCTGTCTTCCAGGGCGCAACTGGACTGTTTTCCTGGAGCCAGGGAGATTTCTCAGAGGTTCAATGATACAAGACCTGAGTTGGAATCTAATAAAAAATGAGCACACAGGGAAAAGAGCTAAGTGTGTGTGTGTGTGTGTGTGTGTGTGCGTTAGACTACTAGGAAAGAGAAACAATAGGAATTAATATGCCTCTGAGGATTGATTTGACCTTGAACTAGCAGCTTTGGTGGTATCTTGGATAGGTAGGCAATTTGATTTGTCTCAGTCCTTTGTCCTTTGCTTCTGCCCCAGTTATTTTTTTTAAGACAGCTTGGAGATTATCTCTCTGGTTTCCCACCACTCCAAGTCCAGTAGTCCCTGGCCATAGACACCCTAAGTGAAGGCGACACCGCCACTGGCCACGTCAGCCTGGCCACGTCAGCCTGGCCACAGAGGCTGAGAACTGAGTTCAAAGAGAGACCCAAACTTCTAAGAATGGGTCAGAAAAAGCAAAGCCCCCACAGAGGCAGCCCAGCCCTCAGCACATCCAGGACAAAGTGGCCAACTAGATCATGTTCAGACCTGGAAGATGGGCTAGTCCCACGGTTGTGGAGCAGCATTGTGTGGATAAGGGCCAGGCGGAGGCCATTTGGCCTTTCAGCTCCGATGGCCATGCCCTCTTTCCACCACTGGAGGACAAGCCTCTGAATAGCCAGGCTGAGCTCAGCCAGAGGTGCAGAATGAGTATCAGAAGTGTTCAGTGAAGAGGAGAGAGGACGATGAAGAGACTCTCTTCACAACCGAGATGGTAGGTGTATTAGTTAGGGTTTCTACTTCTGTGAAGAGATACCACAACCACAGCGACTCTTATAAAGAAAACATTTAATTGGGGTGATTGGTTACAGTTTCAGAGGTCCAGTCCATTATCGTCATGAAGGGGAGCATGGCGGCACGCAGGTAGATGTGGTGCTGGAGTAACTGAGAGTCCTACATCTTGCAGACAGCAGGCAATGGATTGACAGACACGCTGAGGGAAGTGAGCAGAGACCTCAAAGCCTGCTCCTCACAGTGAAGCAAGGCCATATCCACACCTCCTAATAGTGCCACTCCCCTTGGGGGCCGTTTTCTTCCAAACCACTACAATAAGAAAGATCCCACGAGGCTGTGCTATCAGTTCAGTCCAAGTCAAAGGCCACTGTGCTCAGTTCCCTAGAAAACACTCATGGACTCTGAGTGCAGGAAACGCTAGGCACGCCCTTGGGACTGTTACCACGGACTAGAGGGATGGGGAAGGGATTGAGGTTCACTGAGAGGCAAGGAAGGTCTCAGGTGAGTCTCACAGGGCAGCTCTTTAGAAGACCAGGGGCTGAGTTCCAGTACGTCCTCACCAGGCAGAGGCTGCTCACACTTCCCCTCCTGGAGAGGACACCTGGGGCTGTCAGGAGCAAATGCCTCCAAAGGGGCATGAATGAAGTCTTCCGTGTTGAAGGAGGGGGCAGGTCAGTACACCACGGCAGCAGACATCCACTGGGAGATGACTGGGCCAGTGATTCCCCATTGTCCACCCGAGGATTCCACAGTCTTAGCATACTCTAGAAGTTGGTCCAGGACTCGACAGAGCTGTCAGCATGGATAAGAAGGAATGGAAGTTAGATCTGGGTCCCCAGTCTACCAGCAGGACCACATAGAAGACAGAGGACAGATTCTGGGCCTGTTTCAGGGATTCTCGAGAGTCTGAGGCAAAGTCCTGCAAATCTGCGCTTGTGCAAGGATCTAGGTTATCTATATGTGACCGTCTGTAATCTGTAGCATCTAGTGACCTGGATGGCAAACCACTGTGCAAACTGTCAAACAGGTTTGGCAGCATCCAGATCCATTCATAACACTTGGAAAGCTGGGGATCCCAGGTTTAGAGCCAACCCTGGTGATACGGGAGATCTCAGATGGTCCCAATGGAGCTCTACTTCTAGGTCACTACTATTCAAAGTGTTAATTATTAATAACGTTAAGAAAACATATATCCCCTGCAGGTAATTCCCAAAGAGAAAAGAGTGATACTGTTTGAAATATTCAATAGTTTCAGCACCTTCGGTGTTGTAGAAAGGGTCTCACTGAGCAACCCAGGCTGGCCTCAAATTTGAAATCCTCCTCCGCTGGATTATAGGAATGAACCATTATGCTTGACTAGATTGATATTTATTGACAACAAAAGCTCTTTATGGCTTTAAAAATATTTTACGTGTATGGGTATTTCTCCCATACACATGTATGTGTGAGTACCATGTGCCAGGAGAGGGAGGGCATTGGGTCCCCCGGAACAGGCATCACAGAGGGTTGTGATCTGCCACATGGGTGCTGGGAGGTGGATCTGGGACCTCAGTAAGAACAGTCTCTTAACTGCTGAGCCAACTCCCAGCCTGTTTCTGGTTCCCTAAAAGAAATCAGCAGAGAGGCACTGGGGTGTTGTGGTTTAGAACAGAGATTCTAGATTCTAACAAACCGCCTAGGTTAAAATCCTTGCCCGTCACGTGCTCACTCCGTGACCTCGGTAAAATTACTCACTTCCCTACGTCTTGGGCCCCTCATCTGTAAACTGAGGGCTGGCTTACAATCAAGGCCAAGGGTTATTCAAGTTAAAACATGCTTTGGGAGTTATAGCCGTGCCGACACATACCGAGCTCTGTATAAACATTCTGTGGGCTGTTTTGTGGTGGTTGTGAAACGCCCCTTAAACTTAACAGCCTAAACCGTGATGGCTCTCGTGGTTCTTGTATTGTTCGCCTCACTTGGTATTAACTGTGCCCTGGGGCAGCTGGCAGGTCCCAAGGGTCCTCGTGTGCAGGGAAGTGCACCATAGGAGTGCTCATCTAGCTTGCCCCCTCCACGCAGGACCCCTCCCCCCACGTGGCTGCAGGCCTCCCCCTCATCTGGTGACTGGGCTCCATGAGGAGTTCCATGGCTACTTCCACTATCTTCTCAGGGCCATAAAAGCTTCAGACCTCGGCCAGATGAAACTGGGGTGGAAGCGTGCCCCACCTTCCCACCTTCCATTGCGGGGGGCTGGGGGTAAAGTATATTACTATCTATCTGTAATCTATCACACCTTAATAGGACTTCTGTAAAAGTGTGTGGCGTGTGTCTACATGAAGATGTTTGATAGAATATTTACTAGTAACGGAATGAATAGCTCATCTATACCAAGAAGAACAAGGAACTTTTCCCTTCCTTCAGAGCCACGACGTGCAGTGCTGGACTCTGAGTGCTGAGCATCACACAGGGTGACAGGACATAGCAAGACACAAGTGAGGCACAAAAGTGTCCAAGGACAACTGAGACAGAGAGGTTTGATATAATGTGTATTCTCAGCAAGGGACGCTTGGGAGAGAGGCATGGGTTCCACTGAGGGGCAGCAAGATGGCAGGGGAGAGTGTCTGCGATTCTTCACACAAAGAAATTATAAATTGTCATCTAAATGATAAATCAAAGTTGCAGTACGCTTCCCTGAGAGGCCACGGCTTGCAAGTGGACGGGAGACCCATGTCTCAGAGATCTGGGAGAGCATGACCTCCCCCTGAGGAGCTCACTGGCACAGATGACGTGCCAAGTTCCTCCCAAAGCCCAGGATATATCACGTCGACCTTCGTGGGAGTAGAAAAATCAACACACGGCCATTTTCTTGAAGAGCCTCTGCCTTTACCTGGCTGAAGGCAGTGGCCCGAGCTAAATGAGTTCTTCATATTCCTTTGCTGGGTCTCCGTGTAGATACTGCCCTTCCTGAGAAGACCTAATAAATGGCAGATGTCCTCAGTAGAACTCTAGCCACACAGAGATACCCTGGGTATTGTCAGCCTTACAGTGTGAGAGTACAGATATATCCTCGCCATATGGATGTGTCCTACTTAGCTTTGCCGACTTGCCACAGCCTACAGTCATCTGACAAGAGAGCCGTGGTTGAGGAATTGCCAAGATCAGATCGGCCTGTGGGCATATATGGGGAGATTCCCGTAATTATTGCTTCTGCAGGAGGGCCCAGCCCATTGTGGGCAGTACCATCTGTAGGTAGGTGGTCTTAAGCTGTATCCGAAAGCTGGCTGAGCATGAGCCCGTGAAGGAGCCAGAGAGGGAGCCGGACAGCAGCATTCCTCCATGGCGCCTGCCCTGACTTCCCTTGGAGGTGGACTATGACCTGGAACTGTAAGCAGAGAAACCCTTTCTTCCTCTAGTTGCTTTTAGTCATAGCGTTTTATCACAATGACAGAAAGAAAATTAGAACAAGACATATGCTTCCTAGATCTACTCTTTGCCATGGATGGGTGCCTGTGGATGTGGCAGGGCCCCAAAGAGTAAACGACAGGTTCTTGACGGCAAAGAATAGCTCGGGAAGAAGGCGGGAGTGTGAGTTTTAGCTTTCGAGAGAGGAGACGTGGAAGCGACGGGAGGAAGGGGTCGCCCCACACCCTGTTACCGTGCACAGCATGTCTGTGGGATGAGAGCTGTATGCCAGTCTTAGGAGTTGAGGTTTCCTAAAAATAAACCATATTGTCTCTTTGCTGATGACCACAGGAAGAACATGCTGATCTGTGTGTTCACTTATCAGTTTGAGTACCAGCCCAGCCGTGACTTCTCTTCCGGGACCAGGGTCCAGAGATAGCAAGTGCTCTGTGTGGTTCGCATCTTCTGCGCCTTGCCCACAGTGGTAGTTCCTAGCAGCCATCTATCCGTTCAGCGTGAACCCTCTTCTCTTACCCTCAACGCGGTCAGAGATCACACATGAAATTGTGTTCAAAGAGAGACCCAGGCTCTCAACCGGATGGGAGACCAGATGGGAGCTGTAATATGGAGGCAGCGGGTGGCTCAGCCTGCTGTGTTGTGTCTGCAATGGGGAGGGGGGAGATGCCCGG